TAAAAAGTATATATATATATATATATCTATATTTATATATATATATATATATATATATATATATATATATATATATGTACTATTTAAGTGAGATATTATTTATAATCCTAACTATCTAGTCTATGTTTAAGCTTGCCATTACTCAAAAACATGCTGAAAATAACATGCTTTTACATCGATGGTATGAAAAATACAATTCCTATGAAAACGAGTGCCTGGTAGCACAATGGATAATGAGTGTGGCTAAACAAGAGCATCTGGTCTAATGATACATGATGCAAGCTGCAATGCATCCATCCAACCAAATCAAAAATGAATGCAGGAGTTGGGACGTTTATATAACCAGAGAAAATGCATGCATGGGTGTCACTGCTGACAGTGTGTGGAGAAGCACTGGTCTGAAGCCTGACAGAACGAGGGGCATCGCAAAAGCTGATGCAGAAAGCAGCCACGGTGCACCACTCGCAACTACAAGGGATCTGTAGTGCACTAAAAGCGCTGCAGTTGTAGATGGGAAGGAGACTTTTAGGGTCTATCTTAAGTAGTTAATACATTGCATAGTCAAAGGTTTGTTGAAGTTCAATACATTTTTATGAAGGATTTGTGAGTGAATTAAACGCTTTAGCCACAGTAAGAAACAGCTGGACTGTCAAGACTCAGGAAGCCCTTGAGACAAAGTGCCAGCAGAGCCCTAATGCAGTCAAACACAAGCCAAGCACATGGAGCAGGGAGTGGGTGGGGGTCTGTGTTTACACTTCACAGATTCGACAAGCCCACTTAAATGCATCGCAGTCAAGTGATGGACACGCTGACACCAAGATATGCGTTCATTCAAAAGTTCTTCACATGGATGCAATTCATGCAGCTCAAGCCACGCAGACACATCAAATCAAGTGCGCGCGCGATGACGCGCTTTGAAATCAACAGAAATGACGTTAAGTGAGGGGGTACAAAAAAGGGGGATAGGAAACAGCGTGAAATGAAAGACCAACACGGTTTGATTCTCGAGGGTGTAAAGCATGAAGTGAGGAACAGTTAAGATGAGGCGGCGGAGACGACGAGGGGTCCGTCTTTCTCCCTACCTTTCGCCCCTCTCAACACGAACCCGAATCCCTCGTTATCCTTCTTCTGCAGCACGACCGTCTTTTCGTTGATAACGCAGTCGCTGTGGAGAAAATTCCGCGCATAACGACCGTTATTACAGCCTATCATCCTCATCATCGCCACCGCCGCGCGCGCGGAGTGATGCTTCATCCTGACAGGCGTCGGCTGAGCGGAGTTAATCATTTTTGCGACGAAGAGCGCGATGTGACGAGAGTTGTAACCGTTGAAAAAAGCTCACCGCAAGCTTTATCTGTCGAAGAAGGAGCTGTGACACCGGTTAAGAAAGGCAGGGCCCGGTCGCCGGCGAGATAGCGTGTTGTAAGCGAGAGACATAACCGCCAAATGAAGGATGAAAATCACCAGAGGAAAACATGAGCGGTAATCTTGGAGGAATGGGTATGAGAGAGAGAGAGAGAGAGAGAGAGAGAGAGACGGTTTACAGTGCCACAGAGAACGAGCGAGCGCGCGAAAGAGAGAGAAGAATGTATGCATGTGTGCGCGCGCGACTAAAATAATTTGATGTGTGCATTACAGATTGGAATCGTAAGGTATTTAACGATTATGATTTCTCTTAACGATTTCGGTTGCTTGACGCTCACATTAACGATCATTATAGTATTTTTTGAATAATAATTATCTTTTTTTATAATTATAACCCTGTTACCACATTATGCCAAATTGAACAGAACAGATATACATAAACAAATAATGAGAAATGATCAATTGCAATTATCTCAAAAAGTGTCTTCTTAATGACTTTAAATAGACTTTTTAGGAAAAAATGGCCCCACCTATATATTAAATAGGTAAATATATTTTTTAAATGCATTCATTGTCATTCATGCTTTTAGGTGAACTATTTCTTTAACACAAGTCAAAACAAATTTGTGGGTCAAAGAAATTCACTCAAAAAGTCTTTCGAATGCAATACGAGTTATTAATTCGAAATTCTGTTAGAAGAGAGACTATTTCTAGTAGTTACACTATGGTGGTGGTTGTCCTGAATGGCACCAAAACATCTTTGTGACACTGAGTGTTACTTCCTGCTTAGCACCATCAATATCCTTTCCCAAAACACACACCGCAAGCAAGCAGATCAATTACTCAACTGTAGAAGCCACCGGAGATATCCAGAGATATGCTGTTTGAATATGATAGCACTGGAAAGCAAATGTTCTCTCTCTTTCCCTGAAGGACAAGAGGGCTTACCATCTTTTAGATGGAGTATTAAATCCAGTTCTGGAAATCAAGCCGGGGTACTGAATGGGTAGCGAATTGCTCAAACTGCAGCTCTCACAAAGAGCTGGAGTCTCATTTCCACATGGTACGTTAACTTCATTCATATCAGGAAATGGGATTGTGGCCTGTGCCATTTAATTTTACTGCACTTTGTGTCCTGAGAATGAATCAGACCCTAAAATAATCACTGAAGGTCATAAACCGTGGCTCTAGATTGATTAATTTAACGGCCTAAAATACACCGAAAAGATCTTCTTGAAGTGTTTATAATCCCATAAAAACTGTATCTGGCATATTGACAAAATAGGCTTAAAATTTTAATGGCAAGACCTCACAGTCTTAACTATAAGATAAAGTCTTATTGAGATATTGAAAGAGCTCTGAGTTCAAAAGGTAGAGTGCTGACTCCTGAGGAATGATGCATGGTTGTCAAGGCAACATAATCTGCTTTAAAGGGGACACTGTGGCGATGTCACAGAGCAACAAGGTCATTAATATCCCGGCCTGTTAGAACGGGGAAATATTATTTGCTCATAATGCATTTATACCTGTGTGTGATCTCATTTCAAACAATGTTACTGCTGTCCATCACAGAGCGATATTTATACACCGTTGTGGATTAGCTATTTAATAAAAACGAAATAATGCATCTTAAATCCAGTCAAAATCCATACGTATTTATCCTACCAAAAAGTTTACAGTGGAATCCATTGTAAATTTATTAATCATGATATATAGAGCATGTCTGCAAAAGACTGACATAACTAGCAGGTATCTTGCATGTATCTGTGACAAGTTCACCTAAAAGCACCCGTGTCCTTTTGTACGGCTGTCACTCAAGCTCCCTGCAGCAGGAAGTAGCCTGCCCTGCATTGCCTTGGATTCTCTGTCTCCATGACAACCAGCTCGGAGCGAGGGGTGTGTCAGCTGGGTAGGAGTATAGCCGGATGCGAGAGGATCTTTCTCTTTTTTGGCTTTTTAACACCCTGTGACAAATGTGTAAAGTTCACAGTACAACAAAAACTACATTTTTAAGAACTAATATTACCCTTAAAGGGACAGTTCACCCAAAAATAAAAATTCTGTCATTAATTGCTCACCCTCATGTTGTTCCAAACCCATAATACCTTAGTTTTTCTTCGGGATACAAATTAAGATATTTTTGATGAAATCCGAGAGCTTTCTGACCAGCAACGCAACTGACATGTTTAAGGCTCAGAAACACAGCAAGGACATCATTAAAATAGTCCATGTGACATCAGTGGTTCAATCGTAACTGTCTATGCAGGGTCAGAAAGCTCTCGGATTTCATCAAGAATATCTTAATTTGTGTTCAGAAGATGAACAAAGTCTTACGGGTTAGTAACGTCATGAGGGTGAGTAATTAATGGCAGAATTTTTATTTTTGGGAGAACTATCCCTTTAAATAACAGGGCTATTAAAGTTCAGTAGCTAAAAATAATGTTATTGTTTAAAATAAGATTCCCAGACTGCATAGAAAACCAGAGATATGTGGCTAAAATCACACTGCCAATTTATTTCAAATGTGCAGATTGACAGCCACATATTATGACATCATAATGTCAAAGAGCTGATTGTTTTTTTTAAACAACGACCAGCAGTGACGACCCCAAGCTCGAGCGTTGCTTCCATAACCGGCCATTTAAAGAGTTTTCACATACTTCAAACCTTTTTTCCCCTGTGAATAACAATGTGCTTGTGCGGCGCTTTGTGTTAAATCATATTGGGTTGGCAAAGTTTTGGGAAATTATTGTTTGTGTAAAAGGATGCGCAGGTAAATGGATAATTTGTGCTGTACTTTGATACACTCACAAGAATAGTTATTAATAATAGGAATCTGATGCATCACTGGTCTTAAGTAATTGATTAATCAATCGTTTCAATTTTCTTCTTTGCTTATACTTTATTAACCTATAGGGAATTTTGTCTTTGGGGGTAAATCAAATGCATAAAATATAAACTTTTAAGATTTTAAAAACAACCTGGCCATTTTTACAGCTTAGGTAAATCAATCAATCTATTGACCTACACTGTAATAAAAAATAAAACAAAGATTACTGAAGTACGTTTTACAAGAAAATATGGTAACGCTTTACTTAAAGGCTTTATGTATAATGCATTATAAAGGGTTATTAAAGGGTATAATGCATTATAATTATTTATAATGTGCATTGTAATACATTATATCTTCTCGTAATAAATAACTATAACCGAATTTAAAATGCAAAGTGTAACAATGAATTGATAAGTGTTATAATATATTAACTGTGGTTACAATTATTCATGAGATTGTACAATGCATTACAAGGCATAATTAATGCATTAAAACTACTTTTATAATGCATTATACATAAAGGCTTTAAGTTAAGTGTTACCGAAAATACATTTTCAGTCTTTCTTGTGTTGCTTGCTGTTTCTGTGTGATTATTTGTGAAATGTACTCTACTGTTAAATCCTACAACAAATGTATTTCAGTGTATTAAAATGATCTCCAGGCCCAGACAGAGTCTGCACATCTTTTCCCCACATTTTCTTTGTGATGATTTTGGTGAAAGATCTGGAAAATTCTATGAAATATGAACAATTTGCTATACAGGGGAAGTAATTACAAATGATTTAATAAACTTCTTTTTTACTTTGTGAGTGACATTCCTGTGGAATTCCGCAGGCGCAGATTCCGTGTAGACCTGATGATGACATTTGAGCTGTTATTCTGGTCCGTTTCTTGCCTTTCACCATCATAGCTGACCTTGTTGAGGCAAAACATACTAAAATCTGAAACCGCAATGTTGTTTACAGAAAAACGATCTGATTTAAAAAAAAAAAAAAAAAAAACTCTGTAACCTTTTTTGAACTGTAAATATGTACGCAAGAGAGAACCCATTTCAAACTATCATCGTGTATTGAACCAGTCACACTGTAAAAAACATGGTCAGAAGGATTAGAAAAATGTTTGATCATACCTTGATGCATCAAAACTGTCATAAGATCCCACAGTGTAGTGTCGAAAGAGCTTCCTTCTCTCCGATCGGTCTGCCCGGGCATCTGTGAAGAAATATTCACAGACATTTACTTTAGATCACCCCAATTATGTAATATTTCAACCTTTCATAGTGCTGAAAATCTGTAGTGCTCAGAAAGTGTCATAAAATTATTTTTTATTCATTATTTTCACACATAAACAAAAGTTACTTCCTAAATTCTGATGTGACTGTGTTCAAGCACTAACCCAGCAAACTTTGAATGCTTCAACATCATTATCATCACTTTCACACCAAATATAAAATGTGCAAAAAGAATAAAAATAGTCACCAGAATTTTTGAGAGGTACAGCAGATGTGATAAAGTGAGAATGTTGTAAAGGTTCGGTTACATAATTGCATAAAAAAGCTGTCTAGTCACAAATCGGTCTTACTGTGTGCCATATGTCACACAGTCCCAGGTGCCATTTTTTAAACACATTTAATCATTTAGCCAACTGTGCTCTAGAAAAAAAAGTAAATATTAAATAACAAAATGTGCTTACAGTTTCACCACACAGTACCTTGACACGCATATTGTCACTGACAATGAATACCAGTATGACACACACACACACACACACACATATATAAAAAATAAATACATAAATAAATAAAATAAAATTTCTTGATCACACGCCATGAGCTTAAAGTAAATCCACAATTTATAACAGTGAATTCAAAATCAGCACTAGACCAACTATACCACCTTCCGTGTTTAACTGCAACCAATAAAAAGCTCTTTGGAAGACAGGGACCATTTGGCCCATAATGGACCCAAACTAGACTAGTCCTCCGAGAGAGTTCAGGAAGGCCAAATATTGACTGCATTTTATGGAAGGAACCAGGATAAGAGCCAACAAAGCTAATGAAGAGACTTTTTTTATGTCGCAGAGATTAATCGTTTACACGGCTCCGCTTTCGCTCTTCCGAACTTCTCCGAGGGGAGCGTTCGTTCTAGGCCGCTCCTACGCCATGATGTTTGTACAACAACAAACCAACAACTGTCCACAGAGGACTTGGACAAATGGATAAAACACTGGATTAATATCTGAATTTAATCGAATCACCTTAATGTTAAGCACATCCCCCAAAGTTTACTTATATAAGGAAGGCTAATTATATCTACGGAGGAAGGACACCCATTAACGGAGACACAACTGGTGATAATAAAGATCCTGAGCAACCGTGTACACATATTTATCCATTAATGAGATTCTCGAGGAGTTTGTTCTGCAGGCTGCAGCTTCTGAAAACTGCACCATTTGTATTGTCCTCTGCGGTTCTGTTGATACACGATGATATCAGTAGTCAGGAGGCTGCGTGGGATTCAACACTTTCCCCTTCCAACCTACTCACTGGTTAGCTGTTAAAGTTACAGACGCTCAATTCTTCGTTGAGCTGAAACGTTTTGATGTTCAAACAAAAGGAGGTTTAGATTCAGCGCGATTCTACAGACATCCGTTCTATCATGTGACTGCTAATGTAAGATGTCCTCCCCATCTGTCAGTTGTTTCAAATATATAAAAAGGCAGTTTAATTAATATTTTGGTTAATCAAACTGTTTTAGCAAAACATGGCCATCTAGAGAGGTTCAAATTAAAAAAATAGCATTCAAATCGGCTTTAAAATGTGAATCATGATAATTTCTGAAAACTATCCATTTGGCACACTAAGGCTTATTTTTTGCCATTTGTATGGAAACGAATCAAATAATATTGAGGTCAGACTGGACCTGTTATGATGCATCTCATCAACTGAATAAATCAAAACTGAATCGTTTGAGTGTGCAAGTGAATCATCACACTCTGAGCCTTGACATTACCATTTAAGATTCAGCGCGATTCTACAGACATCCGTTCTATCATGTGACTGCTAATGTAAGATGTCCTCCCCATCTGTCAGTTGTTTCAAATATATAAAAAGGCAGTTTAATTAATATTTTGGTTAATCAAACTGTTTTAGCAAAACATGGCCATCTAGAGAGGTTCAAATTAAAAAAATAGCATTCAAATCGGCTTTAAAATGTGAATCATGATAATTTCTGAAAACTATCCATTTGGCACACTAAGGCTTATTTTTTGCCATTTGTATGGAAACGAATCAAATAATATTGAGGTCAGACTGGACCTGTTATGATGCATCTCATCAACTGAATAAATCAAAACTGAATCTTTTGAGTGTGCAAGTGAATCATCACACTCTGAGCCTTGACATTACCATTTATAGATTAGATGTGTTTTGTCAGGTTGTGCATTATCCAGTTTTGAGCAATACCTGATTTCGCATGCATAAATCTGAACAGAGGAATTTAATATCAAGAGATATGGATGTTATAATTAATTGGATGAATAAAATGGCCACCACATCTCTTTTTCATTCTCTTTCTCACATCTTAATTGAACACCCTGTCTGTTTTCTGTAGCAGCTGTGTCGTCTTTCCAACAAAAAGCGTTCTGGCACGTACACACAGAGCCACACGTACTTGACACAAGCTTTGTTCCTCTGTGGACAGTGTGAGGAAAAAAAGTCTATTTGACATGAAGGCGAGCAGCGATGACAGTTGCTACAACACCTGATTTATAACCACCAGGGGTAACTAGCTGTGTGGCTCACTTGATAAAATTCATAAAGATAGTAAACGTGCAGCAAGCACGACTTGAAGGATGCAAAACTTTCAAGGCAGAGTCAGAGCGCACCACTGGGAAAAAAAAAAGTAATAACTATAATATTCTGCCAGTCACACAAGTTTTACAACTCTACGACTAGGTCACAGTTTCTCACTCAATATAATAAAAACATTATCTGATTTGTCATCTTTGACAAAGCTACAAAATGATGGAGAACTGAATTAGATCGAAAAATGACCCCAAGACGATTTGGATATTTTACTACAATTTGTTTTCAACAACTGTTCAAGGCATCTGAAACTGACACAAAAGTCATCAAGATGCAAAATTACCTCAAAAACCAAGTGAAAAGACTCAAAACACAAGAAATACTAAAAAAACTAAACGCAACTGAAATTTTATCGACAATAGACTCGAACTAATCATTCCTATATAATTGTCCACATTGTAATAAAGAGTGCAGAGCAAAACATGCAATTATTGGTGGCACAAATCCGTAATTCATCACAAAACTCCTCAGTTTGCAACATCCTCAAATCGACATACCTCCAAAATGAACCTTCTTCCTAGATCTGCTAGTCTCGTCCATTGGTCCCCTTTAGTTCACCCCCGAGTCAATCCGAGAAACACTTAGTTCTCCTTGCCTGAGGGGTGATTGCCACTTTTCTTGATCCCTCAGGCCCTGACGCCTAACTTCCCATCTCCAAAAACTCTTGTGTCTCCTCGAGCGCTCAGGTGAGAGCTGACCATCAGCATCACACACATGAAAAAGAGAACCGTGGCATTGGAAAAGATGGTATGTAAGCTCTGTTCTCAGTACCGTGAGAGGGAGAGAGAGTGTGTGAGAGAGGGAAAAAAAAGATGCCACAAAAAGAGGAAAAAAATCTTACCAAGGCCCACTCCATAGCAACAGGGTTTGTACAGTGTAGAGCATGTTTCCATGGAAATATATCAATCAGGAATGTGCATGAGTGTTGCTCGGAAAGGTTCAAGAGACTTCAGTAGATTACTTGTGCTGCTGCTAACCAGCTGATGCTGGATTTAACTGTAGCCGATTTTGGACACTGCACTAGATAGTCAACTTTTAAGGCTATCCAGCAGCGTATGTTATGTATCTTGGCTAGTTGTTGGATTCACCGCAAAATAAGACAGATTTGGGCAACAATCTTCAAAAAATGTGATTAAAATAACCATGAAAGCATCGCTATGGGAACCAAATGACAATTTCATAAATCAATGAAAGAAATCAGCTGTCCTTGCAACTCTTCAAAAGCTCTTTGCTCGTAGCGTGCATTGTAGTAGCCATGGATTTCAAGGCTGCCAATGGCTCCCATCTCAACATAGCATTTCTCACCTTTTCACACTGCCGCCCTGCTTCTTTTGCAACACTAGCAAACATGGATGAGATTCAAAATGCCTCAGGTGACACTTATACCAAACATAGCAAGCATTTTCACCTCAGATTACTGCTAAAAAGTGCACAAATTGATCAAATGTGTTGTGACAACTCAATTATTGGCAATAACATGAGGAATAAACTGGTATAGGCAAAAGATCCAATTTTGCCACCAATTATGTATTTGGGTCAATGGCGTGACATGCATTTTTCGTCCTGATTTATTAATTTATTCAAATATATATTAAAAGTGCAATTTATACATCTTTATTTCTTTAAAATGTTCAATTATTAAAATAATTATCATAGGAAATTTTACTTGGGAAAAAAAATATACTTGCTTTGTGGCCTAGTTGCAAATGAACAATAACTGAATTAACAGCCTGTTATCGCCGCAAGGTTCCTCACATATTCTGCGGGTTATCAGAGCACTGGAGAAGAATAGAGTTAGAGAAGACATAATAAGAGGAGCGGGAAAAGTGTTTCTTCCCCTCACCTTGTAATATGTCGAACAATTGTGTAATTTGAAGTGTACACTTTACTGGTGATAGTTCACCCAAAATGAATATTCTGTCATCATTTACTTACCCCCATGTTGTTCTAGATTTGTATGATTTTTTTGTTCAGTGCAAAACAAAAGATGATATTTAACAGAATGTTCATGCTGCTCCTTTTCATACAATGTACAAAGTAAATGGTGACCAGGGGCTGTTAGGCTCCAAATCAGAAAGAGCATTATAAGAAGTACCAAAAAGTAGTCTATAAGACTCAGGTGATATATTGCAAGTCTTCTGAAGCCATATGACAGCCATTGGAAAACATAAGAATTTCAAAAAATACCTTCACTGCAGCTCTGAAATCTCATTCAAGTCTATTAAAATATGCTGTATGAAGACACTTCATGCAAAGTTTGAAATCAATATCAATATTGGTTGTTACATTTCAAAACTACTGTACAGCTTCAACTTTGGAATGTAGCATAGAAGTGATATGGACTAGTTTCGTTGTATGAAATAGAGCAGCATGAACATTCTGTCAAACAGAATGAAAACTTAAATTTCAAACACTTTGAAAATGTCAAAACACGAAAAATAAGGAATGTTGCATTTGCAATTACATAAAATAAGTTAAGTGACTACAACTAAAACATAAAATACAATAATAGTAAAATAGCACTGGTGTGTGTGAGTAAATAATAATAAATAAGTGTCATTTTTGAGTTCACTATCCCTCCTGCGTTAGCAGCACCACATGCATACGCTGTAATAATCTTGTGAAGAGAAGAAATTGTTGAATAAAGTTCTTATTTTTGTTTTTTGTGCACAAAAAGTATTCTCGTAGCTTTATAAAATTACGGTTGAACCATGATGTCACATGGACTATTTTAACGATGTCCTTACTACCTTTCTGGGCCTTGAACTTGTCAGTTGCGTTGCTGTCTATGCAGGGTCAGAAAGCTCTCAGATTTCATCAAATAAATAAATTGCGTTCTGATGAGAAATGAAGGTCTCACGGGTTTGGAACAACAGGAGGGTGATTAATTAAAGACAGAAGTGTCATTTTTGGTGTACTATCCCTTTGGCATGACAGTGAATGAGAACATGTTCAAAGTGTGTGTTTGTGTGTAGACACTCACAGGGCCTGTCCTCGTTGGGTTTGCTTGGGATCTCTTCCACGCATTCTGCTGGGAACCAGCCTACATTCCCTCGGGCACTGCCTTCCCAGAATCCTCCTTCTCCAATACTGAGAACTACGTATGAGAATGTCAGCAAAAATATAAATATAAAACACTCTTCTCATTATTTACAAACTGCATGTGCAATCCTATATATGACACTAGGAAAAATGCCTGTTACACATACAGCTCTTTTAAGATCACTTCGGCATTAACAGGCATTCTGACCACTTCACTATGGATGTGTATAAATTTACACATGACAATATAATATATCAGGCCTATGCTGATTTTATCCAATGAAGTCTTCATTCCACTGAAACCTCTCTAGTTCATCTCTTTCTGTTTGTGAAGTGTTGCTAGCTCTGGCCAGGCATCGCCTGGTGCCGAAGGGCAGAATCTGTGAATTCTTGCTCTCCATATGGCAGGAGAAACTGCACTGCCTGCTACAAACCAGCTTTTCCCTGCATTTGGTGCACACACTCTTAAACATTTCCATATTTACTATCAATAACATATGGTTTAATTGAGTAAAGTTAAACTGAATTTTTTTTTAGAGATGCATGTACCTTTGACCCTGTCGTTCTTATACAAAGCGATTTCTCCCTCGCCCTGCGGTTGGTAAGACTTGACCACCATATAGTGTCTTCCTGGCACAGCACTGTAAAGCTTGCGTTTGGACCCTGGAGTGTCCATGCCGGAGTAGGCATCCCTGTTGGCACGGGGACTGGTGGGAATACAAAAAAAATAATAATTTAAATGATAAACAGATTTATAATAAAATACAATATAACACACACACACACACACACAACTTATATATATATATACAGTCAAACCAAAATTTATTTAGACACCTTCAACATTTCTCAAATTATATCAGTTTATTTGCTAGAGTTTAGAAAATGGTAATAAAATATGACAAGAACTCAGAGTTAAACTGTGTCAGAACAAATTAATCTTGATAATGTCAGATAACTTTGATAGAAAGGTATGTAATGGATTACAATCAACCAAAAAGTATTCAGCTGTTAAATTTAGGTACACAATTAGATAATACCAATTTAGGTCAACCAATTACCAAGCAATGCTTAATTTTGTTCAGTCTGTGGCGTTAAAAGGTTGCATTAGCAATTAAAGAAAAAACACTTAAGCAAAACATGGTCAGGTAAAAGTGGCTGAATATTTTTTTATACCAAATTTTACTGGTAGTCCACTGTATGAAGAATTTTTGGGTATAATATGTCACAGTTCACTTTACTTTGCTATCCTCATTTACATTTATGAACTACAGTGTCCTGCACCCACTATTATCAAAAAAATATCAAAAATTATATCTGGTATCTGAATAATTGTAGGTTTGATTGTATGTATATATATATATATATCTATATATATCTATATATATATATATATATATAAAGCAAACAATGCTATTAAGGTCAGGATTCAGATAGAAATACTCTCAGATGCTTTACTACTGCAAACATGAAGAGAGTTCACAAACGTCTAAACATATTTTTAAAGGGGCTTAGATGAATGCTAAGGTTAAGGCCTGCTAAAATAGAGTCTAGCAATGTCTATGGTAAGCATTGAGGCATACAAGTACACTAGACCACAGCTATTACAAGTATAAGTGCTCCCTCTGCTGGATAGACACCATAAATATACATTAAAGCCAAGATGTGCTCCTGGAGTTGTCTTACAAGCAGAAATTTTGAGTCTAGCCCAGGGCCAGGCTGAATCATTAACTTATCCAGTGATGGCTCACAGGAAACATCACCTCTGAAAACCAGCTGAGCCCTGTCCTGAAGTGACTCAGAGTGTAACTTCAGCCACTCGGTGGGAGCAGACGGCTCACGTCCAAAAAAAACTTGTTCTCCAGAAAAATGCTGACATTAAAGACTCAGCAAAAGAACAGTCCCGACGATGTTGTTAATGAAGGTGTTAATGAGGGCACAATGGACCTAAAAATAACATTGAAACTGTCGCTGCAAAAGAACATCCAGTTTTCAGACGACATGCATAATCTCAGAGGCACATATCCTTATTTTCCCTGCTTTCAGTTTAACATATAAATGCAGGCCTTGCTTCACAGGAGGGCCAGGAGGATGGCCAAATGCAAAGCAATTTCAGATGGCTTTAAAAATAAAAAAATAAAAATAAAATACACATTTAAAAAAGAAGAAAATCAAAAATCTTTATTTTTTTTTTCTCATACATATATATATATATAAACACTCTATATAATGTATTCACAAACCTGAATTCTGCCATTATAAAACACAGCTGTTCATGCTGTTGGTATAAAAATCGTACGCCATCATATAAGCATCTTCCTGTTCATACATGACATGCCCTACCTCACCACCTCTCAAGGTCCCGTGGCATCTGCCGACTTCAGCCTATAGGAGCAGGTGAAATTGGGACAAAGCACCTACATATGCCCTCTACGTGCCTCCAGCTTTTTTTAAGCCTCCACTGAGAACCTCTCAATGTCATCACCCAAAGTCAACCCACCCAGATTAGCCTTCTTACATAATAAAGCTTGACAAAGATGATACAGATGTGATGTGCTTTTTTTGGAGCCAGAAAAGTGTTTACGCGCTAAATAGTCCTAAACAGATACACCTGGTTTATTACTTTAAAATGAAAAATGTGCGGAAATTGTGATGATGAACGGAGAATACCAAAAAGTGGTAACACAACCTCCAACACCTGTGAGAAAATAACCATATGAAATATGATGCAAACAGCACACTGTGCCACATTTTAAGAGCAAACTAAATAGGCTGCACAGCACCGCAAAATTAACTCTCAGCTTCAAACTGCAGCAAATCTGTTCAGCCAATCAGATTTAAGTGCTGAAAATCACAAAAAATACCACAACACTATTCTGAGCATCAAAAATACCATAATATCACTTACTTGCCACCTACTGTAGTTACATGAATAAGCACAAAACAAAAACAATATCCTAATTTGCTTATATCGCTTGCCGATATCTAATAATCGACTTTCAAATGGCCTCACGTACAGAATCTACACCAGCTGGAAGAAAAACAAGCATATTTCAGCAAACCATAAATGAGTGGCTTACTCATTTAGAGCACCGCCTATGGCAGCCAACCGGCCTGCCAACGTAACTAGCTGTCAAAACCGAGCAGCGAAGCTTTCTTATCCAGCTTCATCCAAAGACAATTACATAAGCTTCGCATCTTATTTTTGGTGAAAAAAGCACAAAAAAAAGAGTTAATGTGGGCTGAGGTATTTATGCAAAACAGGGAGGAAGGAAACAAGGCCAGTAAGTGTTAGAAATCGGTTCAAGCGCTGCACGTAAAGTCACATTCACAGGTCTATTTTTAATCAAGCTTGAAGGAAATATGGTCTCAACATCTTGAAGATTTTGATGCAGCAATCAAAATATGACCACGGTGGCAGATTAGCTGCTACGGCAAACACTTGGCTAGCACGTAGCTGCGCATTCGTACAGTGAAATTATGTTTATATTGACAGCTATAGATTTAAACTTAGCTCAATCTAAATCTGGCTTCATTTAACGCTGCAGGAGTTCATTAAACACTGGTAATTTTACCGGGGTCTGGCTGTGCGTATTGTTTATTTGATTAACATGTTGCAAGCTATACTGTAGGGTTCAAGCTACAGGATGTATATCTAATAAAACTGCTTTTCAACTTGTCCGAAGCATTACACTAAGATTTTATGAACAGAGTTGTTCGTTTTAAATGACAAAGAGGTAAAATTAATAACTTCAAGAACAACTGTGAAATCCATAATACTAAGAAAGCCAGGAAATATGGAATGGCTTCATGGCAACATGGTGTCAGTGTGGTAGGAAGTGTTCTTCAAAATATCTTTTATGACAAGAAATAAAAAATAAATAAAAAAATCATACACAGCCTAGCCATACCAGCCTGTTTAATCCAAGGTTTTGGCTGGGTTATCTTAACAACATAACATATATATATGTGTGTGTGTATGTGTGTGTGTAAACATACAGTGGCGGCCAAAATTATTAGAACACTAGTATCTTCACCAGCTAAAAAAATGGTTTTTAGTCAGTTATTTCTATCTTTTGCTGTATGTATCAGTAGGAAATATCAGTTTACATTTCCAAATATTCCTTTTGCCATTAATTGTAATAATCCAGTGAGATTTCTGTCTGACAACAGCCAGAGCTCCACACAGAGATCTGATCTGATCATCATCCAGTCTGTCTGGAGTGACATGAAGAAACAGAACAAACTGAGACAGACTAAATTCAGAAGAACTGTGGCAACGTCTCCAAGATGCTTCAAGAAACTTACCTGCAAAGCTACAGTACTGTTAAAAGTTTTATGCACTTGTGTAAAAATGCTGTAAAATGAGGATGCTGTCAAAAATAAATTGATTTTCTTTATCAATGAACTTTTATTAACTAAATTAAATCACACGAATGTGACCATCCTCTGCGTTTAAAGCAGCTTTTGCCCTCGGTGCACTTGCACATAGTTCTTCAGGTAGCTTTACAGGTAGGTTTCTTGAAGCAGTATA